GTATTGATGGATTTTATGTAAGTGAACAGTATTTACACAAACAACACTCTGAGGATGTTATAGAAGTTGTCATCATTATAATTAGTGCTACACTGGTGATAGTAAAGTCAACTTAAAAAAAATAAAAAGTTAAAATAAAATCCTCCTTTAGAGAATATAATATGAATATGCAAATATATTCAGTAAGCCTGATTGAAATGACATCTGGGTTTTTTTTAAATGTATAGATTTTATTGCAGCATGTTGCTGAGCATATGAAAAATGAAGTCTCAAATTCTATGTGTATGTATCTTAGCTCCTTAGTAATAGCATTTTAACTTACCACTTGAAAAACAACCTTAATGTAAGTTTGGAACAGAAATTGCAAATAACACATTTTGAATTTGTTGTTCTTAATACAGTTTTGGATATTTACTATCTGAATTTGGTTGTGATTGTTTGAAACTGCCTTATTTTATAAAAGTCTGCATTGTTTTCAGTTGCATTTTTGAGTAACTTAATCTGTGTTCTCCTTAGTGGAATAATCTAAACTTCCACAGAATACCTTTGTGTTAAGCACTTGTGCCCCTCCTTCAGATTGTAGACCTTCATTTTGAGCTGATATGGATTTCATTGGAACAAAGCTTTTTCTCCACAAAATTAAGCCAAACATTTTAGAAACAATTTGAACTTCTAATTTGAGTTTTTCAGGCTTACTTTGTTGATTTAATGTTTTTTTCTGTTATTATCTTTCAAACTTAGTGCTCAATAAATGGCAGATGAACCCCTATGACAGAGGATCAGCTTTTGGTGAGTTGTCCTGTTGTTCACTTAAGAACATTTTAAACTAGAGGAAAGCATGCATGAAATTTTCTTTTAAAAGCAATTAGGCAATTTCTTCAACTAAAACTGTCTTGTAATTTTCAGCAATTGGATCGGATGGTTTGTGTTGTCAAAGCAGAGAGATTAAAGAATGGCATGGATGCAGAGCAACTAGAGGTGTGACTAAAGGTAAATATAAAGTGATGTGTTTTGAGTACTCTTCTAGAAAATTTTCAGCTGAAATGCCTGCTTGTCAGCCATTATTAATGCAGATGGTTACATTAAAAGCTTTCTATCCATCTGACCAAATTTAGTAGCTTAAGACTTGGAAATGACAAATATCTCTGTTTTGTTCTCCTTGTGTTGTAAATTACTTTTTCCCTGACACTGATGTCTGAAAGTAGAATAAAACCTTCCCAAACTACATTAAAATGATAATAGAAAGGCAAACCTTTACTTGAAAGCCTGCAGCTTTTTACACAACATCAGGAAAACCATGCCCCAAATTAGATTCATAGAATTCTATAAGATTGGGCAGTTAAAATAGAACTCTACCTTTATTATGTCTATGATATGTGGTACAAAATA